CAACGTGTTCCTCTGCTTTTTCATTTCAGCCAAAGGCTTAAATAGCCCCAGCAGCCACTAGTTTCCAGGATCCAGACCTGAAAGGGTTAACTGATGAGATGCCGACCACTAGTTCCCACTTGACAGTTCAAGATATCTCTAGGAAGGATGGGCCTGTGGGTAAGACTGAGCATTCCTCAGTACAGGTAGAAACGACTGCTGTGACAGGTAACGAATGGAAAACGAGTGATATGTTGACACATTCTAACTTCTTATGTGAATTAGAAGAACATGAAGGAAGGTACTACATGTCTGTAGAAATACAGGATTCGCTACCCCAGCCTTTCAAAGGGTTAATAGATACTGGTTCACAAGCCACTATCTTATCCAATACCTACTTCCAGCAGGTAATGGACTTAGCAACGGATAAGCCGAAGCTAAGAGATTTCCCCAATGCTCTGTTGAGTGTAGGAGGAAATTCCCTTCATGTTATTGGCAATACCTGGTTAAAATTTAAAATAGGTAACAAAACCTTTAGACATTCGGTGATAGTGGTAGATCTCCCCTATGACCGACTAATTCTGGGTATAGACATACTCAGAAGACTTAACACAATTATTGACTGTGTAAATGGAATTGTATGGTCACAAGCTAAGGTTCCTATAACCTATGAGAAATCACATGTTCAATCCGATCATAATTGCCATGTGATAGAAGAAAGACCTGACTCGATTGAGGTACATTTTAGGAATAGTCAGTCACCTGACGTGACTATCCTGCAGGTGAATGATGCAATCGCACCTGTAGATGAGCATTCCGTAAGAGTTGCTCCAGAGAGGATCCAGAATGTCTCTCTGGAAGGTGATGTTTTAACCATTTCTCTCCACATGGATTATGTTGAATCTGTAGATCTGGCAGGTCATGCTCAATTCCTTGCCAGAATTGAAAGGGTTAATAACAACTTATTCTTTCCAATGCAAATAAATGACTTAGGAAGAAGTAGGAATGCAAAGCTGGACTTAAAGCGTGAGAACAGCTATATTAGCAGAAGTCTGTTAAAGCAGATCGCTAATCCTAAAATGATCAGGTATGCTTCCCCACATGACAGGTGGATTCAGAACCTGGATGGCGAATCAGAGAGTCACAATGTGATAGCAAAATGTTTACTATCTATTTCCATCGGAAATAAGACAGTTAAACATTTATTCCTAGTGATAAACGAACCTCGCTATCAGGTTTACATCGGCAATGATGTCATACATCGCTTTGCCATACACCTTGACCTGATTAATTCCAACTTGTGGACAAGGTTAAAAGGTAATCCTTGTGGATACCTACACGAGGAAAACGCCCTGAAATCAGGACAAATACTCCCATATGCGGTAAGTATCCAAGTTCCTGATGACATAACCATTCCACAGGGGACAAGTAACTTTCTTTTACCCCTACAGGTCAAGAAGGGTCAGAGATTGGAAAACTCTGATGCCCTAATCTGTTTATCCAACAGGATACAACAATTAGGGATGGTGGTAACACATACACCAATGGTAAGTATTGGTAAGAATCCCACCTATACAATGGTCAACAATGTTACACCCAATAGTGTTACTTTACCAAAAGGAACATTATTAGGTCTAGCATTGGATGCTGAGTACTATACATTTGGTTTCCAAAAACAAATTATAGGCCTCATCCCTGAAGAATACTTAACTGAGGACAAAATTGTCAATCAAATATTCCATTCCTCTCCAGAAGGATTATTTACTATCCTATCTGTATATCCCTTCAACGTCGAAGAAGGCTCGTGTAAAATCAAAGAAGCATCAATCACCTTCGATCATCCGCTCAATGAGCAGGAAACACAAGAGTATCACGACCAAAGAGAAAAGGTAAGTCAACACCGAACTGACCTAACTTCTAGGCTTGAAGAAGCTTATGAGATAGGCCAGTCTGAAATCTTTCCAGGATTTCAGGAAAGGCTAGAAGAGCAAATATCTTTAGCTGACGGTTGCTCCAACGATGCTGAGCGGCAACAGCTAAAGGAAATCCTAATGGAATTCCAAGATATTTTTGCCAAAGATTCCTACGACTGTGGGTTAACTAACCTCCACGTAGCCAGAATACAAACGGATCCAAATTTACCACCTGTATTTATCAAACAATATAGAATCCCATTAGTGTCATATGATGGTCTACAAGACATCATTCTGAATTTAAAGGAAAGGGGCATTATACGTCCGGTGCACAGTTCGTATAATAATACGATCTTGGGGATTCTGAAACCTAATGGACAATGGCGTTTATGCGCTGACTTACGACAGCTAAATAAGCGCGTCTATACGTCTGGTTGGCCAGTGCCATACATACATGTTTGGTATAAATGCAGGGATCCAAAATATTCACTGCCATTGACTGTGCGCAAGGATATTGGACTGTACCAGTCCATGATGAAGACCAATACAAATTGGCCTTCACATTTGGAAAGCAGCAGTATACCTGCTACAGTAATAAATGTAGTGAGGGATGAAGTTATAAAAATAGAATTAGAAAGAAGACATATGTTGATGAATCGTAATAATGTGTTGTCCTAGGCCAAGTGATGTCACACTGTTATAAGTTTGTATGCTTAACAAACCTTGAATCATTAGTAGATAAGTCTGAAACGAGTTCCTAATCCGTGACTGTCGAAAGATGTCCAAGAAGGATGTGGCGTGTTTCTGGATCGTACAGCTCCTGTGCCAAGAGCTACGACCGACCCGATCGCAGAGATGGGACCATCCTCCGGCATCCTGATTCAAGAGACACCAGGGTTCATCTTGACAGAGAAGAGGATCCTGACCCGACATGTATTCGTCAGCTTGGACCCCAAGATTTCCATCGAGAAGGCAGACAACATTTCATCGATGCAGCTTCCTGAGTTACAAACTTGGTACCAGATGCACCTCCAAAAAGCACAAGACCGTGTGCAAAACATCTTGGAGCAAGCCCGGAAACTATTTGTATCCAGTACTATTTCGATGAGCAACCAACCCAAAAGGTTCCTCACCGCCATAATTGTTGCATTAGTTTTTGCCACTGTTGGTGCAGTTGTCGCAACTGGAATGTTTGCAGCCAACTCTATTACTGTCTAAAAGCTGGATATGGAAATCTATGCGCTAAAGCAACACATTAACGATATTCATCAGGTGATAAACCAGCAAAGAACACTTCTCCAAGACGTGTTAACTATTGTGGAAGACACAGTTGTTACAACAAATTTGCATTCGGAGTTAATTGCCAAATCAACACCAAAGTCATGACTTATTTAAGCGTGAACTTCTATTTCTGCATGACCCAATATTGTTACACACTTGCTTTTCTTGCCGAAGTGCAAACTGGAATGATCGAATTGGCAGGGGGACGCATACCTCTGTATTTTGTATCCAAGGATATTGTTCATGCAATGCTTGCCAATGTGGATGGAGAAACAATTTAAAAGAAGAAAAACTACCACAACAAGAGGACATAGTCTTAAATTAGAGGGACAAAGGTTTAAAAATAATATCAGGAAGTATTACTTTACTGAGAGGGTAGTGGATGCATGGAATAGCCTTCCAGCTGAAGTGGTAGAGGTTAACACAGTAAAGGAGTTTAAGCATGCGTGGGATAGGCATGACTTTGGTGTTGATTTGGCAATTAACTCCGAATGCAAATTTGTTGTAACAACTGTGTCTTCCACAATAGTTAACAATAGCTAACTATAAGATAAGGCTAGGGACTAATGAAAGTATTTAAAAAATTGGGCAGACTAGATGGGCCGAATGGTTCTTATCTGCCGTCACATTCTATGTTTCTATGCAATTAAATCTGGCCTTTGAGATGGGGAGTGCTATACCTCTCTTAATTGATCCAGAACGCATGGAGATTTGATTTTTATTGGCCATACCCTATGTAACTCCCAAAAAAAATTTCCAAATGAAAACAATTTGCTATGATGATAATAATATTATGGTTAATTATACTAAGTGTAAAGTTCAAAGCTCTTACAGGTAAATGTTCATTCCACGCACGGGCCTATGTCAGTAGAAATGATGTGAGTGCACAATATGTCTGGTAACTTCTATAGTGCCTATTCATAGGCTAAATTATTCATTGCTATGAAAGTCACTAAGGGGGGTTATGTCAGGATATTTATATTGGCAGACATTTTGTGCTAAGAAAGAAATTAAAGGTGTATATTGACAGAGTCACTCAGAACAGAGCGGACTCCATTTTGCTATCTTCAGGATAACAAAGACACATAATTTCCTTGATTTCACTAACCACTGAGCCTGAGCTAAGGAATGCATTATATAAACACAGACACTAGTGACAGAGAAGACTAAGTAATTAATTTTACTTTCTAAATTTTACAAGGTCCCATTGTAAGTAAGGGGTGAAATTGAGTTTAGAACTGTTAATTTTACAAATTACGATCAAAGTAGTTGCCACAAAGACTGAGACAAACGCTTTGAACTGACAGCAAATCTAAGTTATGGTAGTCATTTTAGATAAGCCAAATTACGTCAAAATCGTCATCAGGAAAAGTTAACTCTTTCCTGGATAAGAAGGTTTAGTTAGGCAAGACTGCCCTCTATGGATCAAATACCTAAATTGCGATCCATAGATTGAACACCTACGGTTTCCTATTGGCTTATCAACTAATGACGTACAGAGAGTCTGGCCCTTTAAAAGTTAGGACAAAGGGAAGAGAGAAGTTAGTTGGTAGAGAGAGGGAGTTGGAGTTTGGGCAATCAGATTCGGACATGCGGAGAGAGAGACTCAAGAAACACTCTCTGGAACTAACACTCTACTCTTTATCTCACTTGGACACAACTCCTTGACACTTTGAATTTTACTCTGACTTTCTAACCAACACCACTTTTCTCTATTACTCACGCACCTCCATACAACCAATCAAGTTTATGGGACTACCTATTCATCTGATGAGAATATCTACATAACTGGTAATTATGCTGGTTTTATTTAATGAATTTAAATTAATTAAAATGTATTAATAGCATGATATATGACTGGATAAATCACGGTCAGATTTCAATATTTAGAAATCTTAGTTAACTAAAGAATATATAGTTATAAACATTCAATTCTGCAGGTGGAATTAAGAATAATTATATATTAATGTGATAGTATCACGTGTTAGCATACCGCTGTTTTTATCCAGGTGTATTGATTTGTTCTAAAATAAGATAAGATATCTTTTTAGTCAAATTAAAATTCGGCTTTTGTAAAAATCTGGTAGATTATTCTTATTGGATGGTTTCAGGAAATGACTAATGAGTTGGTTCAAATGTTATTTTAATTGAAAATTATAAGAGAATAGGATATAATATGCCTAGGAGGATCTAGCCAGCATTGAAAGAGTTACTCAGTTGATCTAACTGTTTCATGGCTTTTCGCTGTGTGAAGCTTTACTTTTTGTCTATAAAGTACCCTCATAAATCTTACGTGACAGGTGATGCTGTTAGCTATTGGAACGTGTATAGCCATTCCATTGTATTGCATACTTATGTTATACTAAATATTCACTGATTATTATCATGCATGCTGCCTAATATTATTGTTATTTTATTGGTCACAATAAATTAAATCTGTTTTTATAACACATTGTGATTTTATTTGTATGGAATACATTTCACTTACATGATAACAGTTTTGGCGATCATCCCCTTCCAGAGATGCAGGCACAGCTAGTGCAGAACACCAATCCGCCGAACAGGAAACCATACGAATGCTGTAAACAGCCAAATAGGAAAAACCATACGAATAGGTTTACACTCCTAGCAGTCGAACTGGAACAGCATACAATAAATCCCCCCAAGAACGAGACAAAGCTCCGTGTTGAGGGTCAAGCAGTGAACAGACAGAGCTGTGGGTTTATTGTGCTTATGTACACATTCTTACACATTAGTACCACCCACAGGGTTTTGGAACACAACCAATAAACACATACAATACATTCAGACACTCCCACACAAATTCCTCCCCTCTGCATGTGATTCAATTACCTTACACAATGGGTAATGTAATTTAGCACAAGCACAGAAATACAATTTTTCCACATTATTCATAACTTGAAAAGTATGCATCACATTCACATAAAATTTACATTTTCAGAATCAGCATACTCCAAATACAAACATACAGGCCTGGATTAAGAGCCCGGTGCTGACAAATATGATGGGCCTAATTACGGAATCTTATCGACCAAAAACACTAAACCAGTCATACCTCCCAAGCCTCATGTATCTGATAGAGATGGTGCTGGAGGGAAACTCAAAGGATGCAGCTATAAGAAAACACATACTCTATGATAATCTCTCTCTAATTTATGCTTTCATCCTTCAAGTATATCCATACCCCCTAACAGCAGTGTCCAGTGAAGCAGGAAGTCAATGGCAGGGTAAAAGAGTGTGCCACTGGCGCGAATCACATGACCAGACTTGTCAAAAGGGGAGAACATGCTCAAAAAGAGGGCATGTCTGTCCAAAGAATTTGAAGGACAACCTGGCATGAATGTATGTCAGGCTGCCCGCCAATCCTGCAGGCTGTCCAACTAAGGGCATACTATGCAGGCAGCACCATGAGCTTGACATAAATGCGTCTGATGATGCGCTCACTCCATTCTTTCTAAGGACTGTCCCCTAGCACTCGCTGGTCCACTTGTCTCCTTACCTTCTTACTAGCAGGCAGAAGTTCCTGGTATATAGTCTGAGACAGAGAAAAGGTGTATGTAGTGAGTGCAGAAGAAAAGGGACATGCCACAGTTTTAGAGATATCAGCGTCTGCATTACCTAAACTAATTTTATTGTCAGCTAGTCCACACAAGTTTTGTTACCATACATCCTCTTAAGCTTCCCATACATTCTCTTAAGCTTCCAAACTTAAAGGGACACTATAGTCACCAGAACAACTACAGCTTATTGTATTTGTTCTGGTAAATAGAATCATTCCATTTAGGCCTTTTGCAGTAAACACTGTCTTTTCAGAGAAAATAACTCCACTGGCCACTCCTTAGATGGCTGCTAGAGGTGCTTCCTGGGGCAGTACTGCCTAGTGTGCAGCACTGCCATTCAGTGTCTCCACCCTCTGCATGCAGACACTGAACTTTCCTCATAGAGATGCATTGATTCAATTTATCTTTATGAGGAGATGCTGATTGGCCAGGGCTATGTTGGACTTGTGCTGGCTCTGCCCCTGATCTGCCTAGTTGACAGTCTCAGCCAATCCTATGGGGAAATTTTGTAATTTGCTCAGACCACCACTTCTGATGATGTCAGCAGACAGTCAATTCAGAGGCAGAGCCAGCAGCTGCAGACTTGAATACAAGTTATATTTTACTATACTTAGGGAGGCAAGAAGGGGCCAGGGTGGTGGTTTTAGCATAATAGGGTAAGAAATACATGATTGTGTTCCTGACCCTATAGTGCTCCTTTAAGCAAGAGTATGTGAAGAGTAGTTAGGGTTGCCACCTTTCTTGGAAAAAATACCAGCCTTAATCATTTGTATAATCACAAAGAGTGACATCAGAGAAAATTCTGTAAAATCACCAACAAACTACTCACAGTTTGATTCTGCTGTATAGATGGATTGCTCCCAGTTTCTCAGTCTCGCAAGTCACCCAGTGTCTCAGTGTCAGTGTCCACATGTCGTCCAGTCTCGTAGTCTCCCAGTGTCCTCATTTCTCCCAGTGTCCCAATGTCTCAGTGTGTCCCCATGTCACTAGGATACTGGGGACACAGTGAGACATGGGGACACTGAGAGACATGGGGACACTGAGAGTCTGGGAGACTATGGGACTGGGCGACATGGGGACACTGACACTGTGATACATAGGGACACTGAGACACTGGGTGACTTGCGAGACTGAGACACTGGGAGCAATCCATCGATACAGCAGAATCAAACTGTGAGCAGTTTGTTGGTGATTTTACAGAATTTTCCTTTAGATATACAGCCCTGCTGCTGGAGACCGACTGTCTCCCCTTTGGACACACAGCTCTGCTGCTGGAGACCGACTGTCTCCCCTTTGGCTAAACAACCCTGTTGCTGGGGGGCAGAACCGACCATCCCTACCCCCTGTGCTGCACGTGCAGAGTCCCATCTGCACAGTTGTGGGGCTTACTGTCTCTCCCTGGTACATTAAGCTGCCGCTGGGGTGAGGGGGTAACAAGCTCCTCTCCCATACATACTTCCAGCCGTGGGGGAGGGAGACCGACTGGGCTTCCAATTCCCAATAAATCATTCTGCCGCTGGGGAATGGAGACTGGGCTCCCAATTCCCAATAAATCATTCTGCCGTTGGGGAATGGAGACTGGGCTCCCAATTCCCTGCAATTCATTCTGCTGCTGGGGGACAGGAGCAACTATCTCTATCCCCTGTAACTCAGCCTGCCGCTGGGGAATAGAGACTGGGCTCCCAATTCCCTGCAATTCACACTGCTGCTGGGGATCTGAGCCGACTGCCCAGCATCCCTGTAGCTCACCCTGCCGCTGGGGAGGGAGGACGCTGCTCTCCTCTCCTTGCGAGGAACACTGTCGCTGGGGGACAGGACCACCTGTCTCTGCCTCCTGTAACTCAGCCTGCCGCTGGGGAATGGAGCTCAGGCTCCCAATTCCCTGCAATATCTCCCGCTTGGGAATGGAGCTCGGGCTCCCAATTCCCTGCAATATCGGTGGAGAGAACTCGGTCCCATCTCCACCCGCCACCTGGGGTTCTTCCCAGTAAATCTCAACAATGTCTTCCCAGCTGAATGGGTCTGGAACTGGATCTGTCACCTTGCTGTCCTGCTGAGCCTTCTCAATGGAGTGGAAGAGATCTCGGTAGTCCTGCTCCAGTTCCCACTCCAGGGTTGCCAGGTGAGCCAGGTCTTGCTCAATGTCGTGAGTGTTGTCCCAGTCATACCTGCTCTCCCTCCACTCCAAGAGATCACTGAACCGGGCTTGTGTAGGGCTCCCAAATTCAGGCTCTGAAAAAGCCTCCCATAACAAGCCAGGACCATCAAACTCCTCTCTCTCTGGCTTGTCATGCTCGGCTGTCCAGGGCAGGTACTGTGCCCCATACCACCAGAGCGCCTGGTAGGCATCCTCCAGCCATAGCTCCTGCCATACCCGGTGCTCCAATTCCTTCACCCATTCATCCAGGGGCTGCTCTCCCAGGAAGGGCATCCGCAGGGCCTCTTGCTTCTGCAACCGCTGCTCTTCACTGGGGAGACTCTTGCCCCGCTGGTATTGTACATTATCCAGGGCCTGGTACCAGATGCCTTTCCTTAATGCATCCCGGCCATCCAGGTCCTCCTCCTCGTATGACACTGCTGGTTCCATTCTGTTGCTGTCAGGGTCGCTGTACTCAGACATGCGTTGCCCTCAAATTGTAAATCCACGGAATGGTGTCGCCTGTAGCTGTCCTGTTGTCTGTGGGAACGATCCCGCCGCTTGCCACCAATTGTAACGGACCGTTTCAGCACACAAGGGGTTAAAACCGTTTAGGCGATCGTCCCCTTCCAGAGATGCAGGCACAGCTACTGCAGAACACCAATCCGCCGAACAGGAAACCATACGAATGCTGTAAACAGCCAAATAGGAAAAACCATACGAATAGGTTTACACTCCTAGCAGTCGAACTGGAACAGCATACAATAAATCCCCCCAAGAACGAGACAAAGCTCCGTGTTGAGGGTCAAGCAGTGAACAGTCAGAGCTGTGGGTTAATTGTGCTTATGTACACATTCTTACACATTAGTACCACCCACAGGGTTTTGGAACACAACCAATAAACACATACAATACACTCAGACACTCCTACACAAATTCCTCCCCTCTGCATGTGATTCAATTACCCTACAATGGGTAATGTAATTTAGCACAAGCACAGAAATACAATTTTTCCACATTATTCATAACTTGAAAAGTATGCATCACATTCACAAACTTACATTTTCAGAATCAGCATACTCCAAATACAAACATACGGCAAAATCATACAAATTGGTCCAGTGGTTCAAAAGATAGATCGTAGTCCTTTGTGACCACAGGAAGCATGGCTTTTCTGCCCAAAACCAGTTCCACAGAGTCTTCTATCCTGGAGATAATTAGAAGTAATCAAATTATCTCCAAAGACAGAGGCAAAACTCCATTGAACACATGGCAGCAAAAGACAGTAAAATACAATAAAATACACAAGGTTACATTTATGACATAAAATACAGACATGCAACATATGC